GAATAATTAGATTCCTTTGTTACTTTGAATTTATTTACCAGGGAGGTTTAAAAATTTGCATTCCTAATACCACCAGCATATTCTTGAAAAGAAAGACCAATTTCTTTCCCTGCTGCATGTGAAAGTTTCAGAAGAATCTTTATTCAGAAGAATCCTTAGTCTACTTCTGAAGTTGTCTCTTTGAACACAAAAGAACTTTATAATACACAATATGCAAACCAAATCGAATGCGCAATAACGCAGTATTTAGTGTACATGCAGTCCTCACTTGTTAGCTTTGATATGCATAAATTTCAATTAAAAAAACAAACAAACCAGCAGCAAACTTATGCCACTGAGTTGATTGCAACTCATAACAACCCTATGGGGTGGGGTAGAAGTGCCCCTGTGGGTTTCCAAGAACGTAACTCTGTATAGGCATAGGAAGCCTCATCTTTCTCTTGCATAGCGGCTGGTGGTTTTGAACTGCTAACCTTGTGGTCAGCAGCCCAACACTTAACTGTCCCTAGCAATATAGTTCAGTGTCCAACCACATCACTTCTTTCAAGCTCTAGGAGTGCTGATCACTGCACATCTGTTACTCAGTTCATGCTCAGAAAGCAGTGTATTGTATATTGCCTTATCCCTGAGTGATCTAAACTGGTTACGGCTGTGTATCTGGGGTTGCCAAGGCACAGGACAGATACTTGTTCTGCATCATGAAGTTATATGATAAGATGGCAAGAGCTATGCCAGGGGTCCTCAAACTTTTTAAACAGCGGGCCAGTTCACTGTCCCTCAGACCGTTGGAGGGCCAGACTATAGTTTGAACAAATTCCTATGCACACTGGACGAGTCAGCTGCTAAGCAGGACAGGCAGTGGGCCGGATAAATGTCCTTGGCATGTGGCCCGCGGGCTGTAGTTTGGGGACCCGAGCTATGCAATTTACTCTTGATGAATGGGTGTTGGTTTGTTTGTGTAAATACAGAAATGAAACAGTTCAATTATTTAGAAGACAATGTACCAAATGGATATTAATTTTATCATTTCCCCATACATTTCTAAGGAGCCCTGGTGGCGTACTGGGTTACACATTGAACACAAGTTCTGCGAGTGCAGCAGTTTAGGTGAGACTGTTTCCATGGAGATTTAAAGTCTCGGTAACCCAAAGGGAGTGTTCTGCTCTGGCCCACAGGGTGGGTATAAGCAATCAACTCCATGACGTTGGGCTTTATACATTTACAGCCAGCAATGAAAATTTTTAAGGCCTTGACAAAAAGTTTTAAAGACCACAGAACAATCCTATTTTTTCTCATCGCTTATTTTACAAGGTTTCAGAATACACAGTCTACAGTACCGTATCACCTGCTAAAATGAGGACTGCCTATACACTGAATTATACTAAAAGAGTTTATAAAGCATACATTATTAAAAATAAAATAAAAACAAAAAACTAATGTTCTCCTTAGGTCAAAAATATTTTACATGTCTTAAGTTCCTTATGTTTCCAAATTCCTTTCCAGACCTTTAACACAGGGACAGATAGACTATTTCTCGCAGCTGTACAATGGTGGCAAGATGGAAAAACAGTGAGGAGGAAGGTTCTCTCTGGCCGGCGTCTTTCAGACGACTGAAATCTATCATTCCTTCAGTATCAGCAACCGTGTGCATCACTGAAGTCCCCTGCATCCTTGCACGAAGTTAGGATGAGTCCAAGGTCATCCACCTCGGTCACACATGCTGAGGTTATCTTAGGCGCTACAAGTACAGGCTGTGCTAAACCAAAAAGCCCTATCAAACGCACTGACATTCATCTGATTCTAGCTCAGAACGGGTCCCGAGGGTTCTTGAGCCTTCACAGCTCTGTGCCGGCCTCGCATTTGCAGAGTGGCCACTGGGTTCCGGCTGAGGACCTCTCGGCTTGCAGCCCCAGATCCAATCTGT